CTCAAGTTGCAGCGGGGGAGGTCTAGGTTGGATATTAGGAAAAACTATTTCAGCAGGAGGGTGGTGAAGCACTGGAATGGGTTACCTAGGGAAGGGGTGGAATCTCCATCTCTAGAGGTTTTTGAGTCTCGGCTTGACAAAGCACTGGCTGGGTTGATTTAGTTGGGATTGGTCCTGCCTTGAACAGGGGGCTGGACTTGATGACCTCCCGAGGTCTCTTCCAGCTCTACGATTCTATGAATGTTTCAGTCCACATTGACAAAGCAAAATCAACTTTGGGCCTTGGTTTAAATCCCCATAGAGGCTGCTACTCTCGTAACCCCTCATTGCTCAGATTTTCTAATATGAAACATGAATCTATGCTGCACTTATATTTAAAGAGAGGAGCCAGGATTCACATGGCTGTGTGCTACCAGGCTGCGACATTGAGGCTGATAGTTTAATCACACACGGATCCTGAGAAATTCCAGTTCACGATTCCTACAGTTATTTTAGTTTTGTTTTATTATGTGTGCACTACAATAGAGTTTCATCAGGTGAACACAAAATGCTGGGCAAAGAGACCTAAGATCTGGCAAATGCAAATAATACCTTGGATCCTATGGCCCTAAATACATCTAGAGCAGGGAGCACTTTGTGTTTTCTCTGCGTATATTGTGAGATCATGCAGAGAAACTCCATTGTGTTATGTGCACCCACAGGGCAGACATTGAACTGTGGAAACCTTTCACTAGCTCTCTCTTTCCTGCCTCCTTAATCTACAGTTGCTATCGTAATATTGCAGTGACACACGTCTCATGTATCATTGCCTGCTCATTCCTAAAAGGGATGAGCAAGTGTGTTACATTGAGCACCTTTCTTTTGGCACTGAGGGAAATATTATCTATGTGGCGGGGCAGGAACAGGGGCTTGGAGAGTCTGTCCTCTGAAGGATCACACCTGTCTCGGTTGTTTGTGCTCTTTCCAGTGATCAGCTGGCGCATCGCCTGGTTTCCTAAGACATGCGGTCTTCCCTGTGGTCTCTCCTTTGTGCATCTGCAGGGCAAAACCACCTGGCTGGGGTTGTTTTGAGTTTGCACCTGCCAAGAATGGCCCATTTTTCAGAGCAGCACCGGCAGCTCCCTCACTTATTTCAGTTGGAATTGTGGGGGCTCAGCACTCCTTTTGTTGAACTACCTAAACACGGGTTGCGGAATCTGGCTCTTGGCAACCAGGCGGAGTGCTTTGGCCCTGTCCTTGAGCAGGTGCTATGCTTGGGGCGTGTTTCTGATAGCCGGGGGGAGGAGCTGGAGGCTGAGTGACTGGGGGCAGTGCTTGAAAACTTCCTGTTTGTTTTTCTGTGTTGGTCCCAGGTGTTCGGCAAGAACGATGTGTGGTTTTGGGTTATCTTCTCCTTCATCCACGTCGTGGCCTCACTGGCTCTCAGCACTCAGATTTACTACATGGGCCGCTTCAAAATGGGTAAGCTCTGAGGCTTGGGAGAAATTGGCTTTTTCCCTAGGTGCTTATGCGCTTCTCGCTTGCCACCCTGAGTGAGGCCCGAGACCCCTTTAAAGGCAGTCTGGCTGCTGGCCCCTGTGCTCCAGGCTCGGGGGGGAGGGGGGGAAGACTGGGGTCTTGTCCTGTGCTGTTCTTACGCCTCTGTAGAGCGCTACACAGGGACCCTCTCTATGGCGCTCCGGCTTACAGGGCTCCCAGGGACTCTCTGCTCAGAGTGCCCCTCTCTGTTGTGCCCAGAGCTGGTGCAGCTGGGAAGCATCTGTCCCTCTCCCTAGACGTGCAGGCCCCAGCCAGCAGTTGCGCTCCACTTCTGAACCTCTTTCTTCTCTCTCTCCTGCTGTCCTTGGCTCAGATGTCCCTGACGCAGGTAACCTGCAGCTCCTTTCCTTCCCTGTTTGGCGGGTGTGCAGCAGGGTAGCGGCATGCATGTCCTTTGAGCCTGATGTGTGGGTTCTTTAGGAGTGCGATCAGTGGTGCACTATGAGCCACAGGAAGCACACACAGCAGTGGAACCGCCCCCGTGCCAGTGGGGCTGAAAGTCACTTATGTTTTTTACAGATACTGTCGTGTTGCACCTGAATGGGGGTGTGCGTGTGTGCGTGTGCGATACGACAATACCTATAAGAAATGTGAGGGGTGGAGTATGGGAGGTCAGGCCCAGGGGCTGGGAGTGTGTGTGGGGGTGCATGCAGGAGTCAAGGTTGGGGGTATGAGGAGGGGCTTGGGGCAGGAGGCTGGAGGCGTGAGGGGTGCAGGAGTCAAAGTTGGGGGTATAAAGAGGGGCTCATGGTAGGGAAGGTGTGGGGGGTGCAGGATTCAGAGTTGGGGGTATAGGGGTGAGTGCAGAGGGGGGACAGGAGTGCTATGGGGGTGGGGCTGCAGTTGCCAATACT